TTCAACGTTGATGGTAATTATGCATTGGCTATGTATGGTTATGTATGTATGGTCATCACCACCATACACTGTGGTCGATACACTGTGTTACCTCTTCATATGTTGGCTTCGGACCCCATCTCTCCATTTCTCCTGTCCCCGCTGGGGTCTGCGCAAAGAGCCCCTCCTCCTTGGAGTCTGTTCTGGCTCCAAGCCAGCCCCCAGGTTGGCCCCTTCTCCTCCATTGCCTCTTTGATGCCCATGTCACTCTCCTCCCCCCTCCCCGCCCCCGGGGAAAATCCCCCAAAGATTCCAGGATTCCACCTCGTAACCACCACGCTGTGGTTTTTCATACTGTTGGTCACAACCGGTTAGCGGACTGTGAAATCAACCAACATTTTCTCTTTTTTCTTTTTTTTTTTAAATGTTTTATTTATTTCTAGGAGAGAGAGAGAGACAGCGTGAGCAGGGGAGGGTCAGAGTGAGAGGGAGTCACAGACTCTGAAACAGGCTCCAGGCTCTGAGCTGGCAGTCAGCACAGAGCCCGACATGGGGCTCGAACCCACGAACTGTGAGATCATGACCTAAGCGAAGGTGGACGCTTAACCGACTAAGCCACCCAGGCTCCCCTATGCACTGATTATTCTAAAATTAATCCTCCATCCGGATCTCTGCGCTGAACTCCAAAAAACTATATTCAGCCATCAATGCAACTNACAGACTCTGAAACAGGCTCCAGGCTCTGAGCTGGCAGTCAGCACAGAGCCTGACGCGGGGCTTGAACCCACGAACCGCGAGATCATGACCTAAGCGAAAGTCGGACACTTAACCGACTAAGCCACCCAGGTGCCCCTCAACCAACATTTTTTCAACAGAAAAGAGTAGATCAGAGTCTGCACACAGTGTAGACACAATAGAGGCTAAGGTATAGGGGAAGTGTGATTTCGTGGAAATTTTGCTTCCGTGTTCTAGGCATTGGATGAATATATGTACATAAGTGTACTTCTTACCGTGGGTCAAAAAAGTTTGCCGAATCCTGCACTACACAGTCTTGACTCCTAAATCCCACGGACAGACTGGATGGATAATATTCATATCAGCTCAGACATTTCTCTTTTTGCTGGCTGGGACCCATGCCAAGGGGTTTTACCTGCTTTCGTTCTTGGACTCCTGGCCACAGCCTGAGCAGTGCTGTGATTCCCAGTTGACAGATGATGAGACTGAGGCTCAGACTGGAAAAAGCCCGTGCCCGAGAGCTGGGAAGAAGAGCCAACCTCCCTCCTCAGACTACCTGCTTGCTGGCTTGCCTGATCCCTCCCAATCTGCTCCCCAACTCCATGGAGCACTCGGGTTCGCCAGCCCAGCCTCAGCGCCCCAGGTTCAAGGTGCCTCACAGATCTTCCAACACCTCAGCTGACGGTACCATTTGAGCTCCCATTTTGCAGGCTAGAAAACTGAGGCTAGTAAGCATTTCCAGGAATCTGCCATCTTATCACCCTTCTCCAATCTTCTTTTGAAGCAGGAGAGACAAATGGATGAGGCCAGGTCTTTGACTGCCTGCATTCAAATCTCATGCTTCAAAACTGTGTGATTTCAGGTGGCCTCTCTGAGCCTCAGTTTCCTTTCCTGTGAAATTGGAATAATAATAGTGCCTACCCATAAGGCCCTGCTTAAGCCTTAAATAAGTTGGAATATGTGCAAAGTTCTTAGATCAGCCGCCACACCCCTCTGTTGGGAATCTTCCCAACAGCCCTATGTAATTAGATTACTATTTGCCCCCCAACATGGTTGCAGAGAAGGGGAGGCCCTTGCCTGAGTTCATACAGCTAGAAAATGGGAGAGTAAGAATTTGGATGTGGGTCTGGCTGGGCTGTTAGCCACTGAGTCACAACAGCCCTCGGGGTATTGGTTCAACAGCAATAGCAGGAAGAACATTTTCCAAATTAAGGAACGTGGGACTCGGAGAAGGTAAGGACATGTCCAAGTCCCACAGCATGTAAATGTCAGAACCAAGACTCAAACCCAGGCTTGTGTGTGTCCAGAGGCAGGCTGACCTTTGCCCCAGGAGCCCCTCCAGAATGTTCTGGTGGAGCAGAAGGAAAAAGTGAGTTTTGGGGGGGGCTTGCCTCAGCTTGGCCTGGAGAACTTGTATGCTTAGCTCCAGTCTCTACCCACCTTGTTGGCTGCTCCCTGGAATGTCCTGGCGTGGAGATACCGGGGTGGCATGGGCGATGGCGGAGGGTGCAGCAGCCCCCTCCTCTGGCCTCAGATTGGGGCCCTGCAATCCCCCAGGATTTGGTGCTTGGAAAGCTGACGTTAGGTTGCTATGGCAATGGGTTTGGGGCGGTTGCTATAGCAGCAGAACTAGCCTGGGTTTAAAAATATCTAGGAGGAGGTTTGTGTTTGTGTGTGAGTGTGAGTGCGTGACCAACCATGCTGTCGTGTGTGTCCAAATGGGAGACCTTGGGAGGCGGGGTATGTGTGGAGCCAGGGCTGCAGGCATGACTTGGGGGTGGGGATTGACCACCTCCCCGGGATTCCATGTGTGCTGCGCATGTCACTGAGTGACCTGTGAGGTCCTGTGCACTTTGTGCATTTAGACTATGTGAGCCATGTATCTAAATGTGTGTGATTATCCAAGTTGCATGGAAGACGGCATTAGGTCTGTTTGTCAGTCTATATATCACATGACACTAACATGTATGCCTTATGTAACATAGGCTGCTTATGTCTTACCACTTCGATCATGTATTTGTAACTTCTCAGGGGGTGTGTGGCCAAGTGTGGAGTTATTTTGGCTTTGAATTTGTGCACCTGGGACATACTCAGATATCAGATGTGTGTCTATTTTTGCATGAAACCCTGTGATGTTTATGGTCCACATGACTGGATGTACATTATGCATTATGGGTGAGTGTGAGTGTGTGTGTGTGTGTGTGTACCTATCCCCATGAGTCTTCTTCATACACAGAGTGTGCCTGTGTGACACTGTGGAGTACACACCTGTGTGTCTGCAGGAGAGCCTGTGTGACTGTGAGTGTCCTGCGGATGTGGCACTTCATGCCAAACTCCATGGATGTTGGGATATATACCTGGGTGGTGTGAGTATGTGTGAATCAAAGGGTCTCAGGCCTGGATCTTGGCCTGACCCCAGTGTCTCCCTGCATCTCTCTTGCCTCTTCCTTGTCTCCATAGCAACCAGCTCCTCAGCTCCCTCCAGGAAGATGGAGAGGGAGGATCCAGACTGCAGTGGACCACAACCCCCTCGAATCCCCCTTGGCTCCGGGGACAATGGGGGGGGGAGGGGACAGATGGGAGGCCACTCCATCCTCCCCAGGCCATCTGCTACCCTCCCCGTCCTGGGGACCTCAGAGCATGGCAAGGGAGGGGCAGGAGTGGATGGAGCAGAGGGACGGCCCCCCCCATAATTACCCCCCACCCAGGCCCCCTCTCAGCCTAATCTTGCCTCTGGCTGACCTAGGAAGAATCCATGGAGACAAGTAATTCAGGGAGAAGAAATTCAGGAAATTGAATTCGTATCAGAGAACACTGAATATTAGCAATGATTCACTCCAAGGAAGGGTCCCCTACTCCTAATGCCTTCGGATTCTGAAATTAAGCTTGTCTTGCATTCAAATCCAGTGTCCCCTCCATCTGTCTACCTGTGCATCCTTGGACTGAGCTACACTCCATGTTCCTGGGTCTCCACTTTATTGTCTGAAAATCAGGTTTTCTTAAGGACATGAAGAGTAATACTTACTCCACACGGGCTAACACTGTCTTGTTCCCAGTGTTTGGGACAGTGCCTGACACTTAGTAGGGGGTTCATAAGTACTGCTGATTGAGTGCCAATTATTTGAACTAAGCGCTACGTGCTTAACACAGGTATTCGTTGAACTCAATCTCCTGAGCCCTTAAGGTAATCCTATGTTGATTCTTCAAGGGATGGATGAAAGATCTGAAGGGGAACTTCCCAGCTGTCAGGGGTGAGACACACGTGACGCGAGATTTCTTATCTCGACCAAGTGATGTCAAGTCTCTTGGTCAGTTTCCTCCTCTGTAAAATGGGGATAATTGGAGTGTCTGATGGGGATTCCATGTGATAAGGTTTGTGTAGCGCTTACTTAGAACCGGACCTAGCACACAGTAAGTGCTCAGTAAACGTACATTATCAGTGAGTGGTGGGGAAGGTGTGGATGAGGCCAGGGTCCTCATTGTAGCCTGGGGGAGCCTGGTCCCTCTCCCAGCTGCGGAAAGGGGCGTGGTCACACCCAGGGGGCGTGGCTCAGGCTTCAAGGACAGACCAATGGGGGCGCCGAAGGGCGCGGCCCTGACCGGCATGGGCGTGGCTTTGAGCGGGTGGGAGGGGCCAGGCCGCTGTGGGAGCCTCCGGGAAGAAGATGCTCGGGCCAGCAGCCACCGCCAGCCCTGCCGCCGCTGCCGCCCGCACCCGCCGCCCCCCGGGTCCCCACTAGCGGCTGCCTCCGCCTCCTACCTCCGGTCCCGCTCCTCCGGCCCCCCGCCCCGAGCAGGGTCTGGGGGGCTCGGCCCTCCAGCCGGGGGAGCAAAGAAGGGGGTCCCGACTCCCCAGTGGCGCGGCCGGTCCCTGGCCACGGTGATCTTGAGAGAGACCCCACCCCTCAGTTTTCTCTGGACTCTATCGGGGACCCCCCGCCCTTGCCCTCCCGTCCTGCTCACATCCGCTCTCCAGGCTCTGTCAGCCCCCCAGAACCAGCTCCCTCCCTTCTTCCCTCTCCGGGGTTCCCCCTCCCCCATCCCTCCGCCGTCGCCCCCTCCCCCTCCCACATCCCCTTCCCTCCCCCTCCCCCACCCCCCCCCCCCCCCCCCCCCCCCCCCCCCCCCCCCCCCCCCCCCCGACCATGAGGATGATGGCCGCCGGCGCGGTGCACGGCCTCTTCACGGCCTCCGCGGCCCCGCAGCCGCCGCCGCCCCCGCCGCCGCCGCCGCCGCAACCCCAGCCTCCCCAGCAGCCGTCGCCGCCGCCACAGCAGCCGCCGCCGCCGCCGCCGCAGCCGCCGCAGCAGCAGCAGCCGCCGCCCCAGGCCCCCCCCATGGAGCCCGAGGCCCCGGATTCCCGCAAGAGGCCCCTCGAAACGCCCCCCGAGGTGGTCTGCACCAAGCGCAGCAACACGGGAGGTGAGAAAGGGTTGCGGCTCGGTGTGGGGGAGCGGGCAGGGGGCCTCGCCTTTCTCCATCCTCCTCCCCCCTCCGTGGCAGGTGCAAGGGCTCTGGGGAAGGGAAGGGCGCCCCTCCCTAGACCCGGGAGCTGAGAGGGGCGTTGGGGAGGGGGCCGGACCCCCTCCCCCTCTCGCCGCTGCCCCGGGCTGAGAGCTTTGTCTGCGATGAAAAGGGGTGGGGGGGAGGGGGTGGTAAGTGTCCTTGGGGGGCGCAGAGGATGGGGGGCGTGGGTCTCTCCGAGCGGGTGTCTCTGTGTCCTTGAGGGGTGTGTGATGTGACCCTTTCGGGGCAGGGGTGTTCCCGGGCTGGCGTGTCCTGGCAGGGGGGAGGGGAAGGAGTAGAGGAGGCCTGTGGACCCGGAGCTTCCCAGCCTCCCTCCCTGGGGATGTCCTGAGCAAGGGTTGTCCCAGAGGGAGGCATGAGTGGGCCCTGGGCAGGATTGTGCGTGGGGACAAGCTGGATGGGTGTGTTGGGTGAAATGGAGGAATGGGTGGGTGTGTAAACCCAGGTGGGAGAATGTGTGGCTGGGACAGGTGTGTGTGTTTGTGTGTATGGGCGCCTGTGGGCCCTGGAAGGCCTGGATGTGTGACATTAGGGATCATGGATATGACATGAAAGAAGGTGTGTGTGTGTGTGTGTATGTGTGTGAGAAGCAGGGTGAGGCGAGGGGCTGGGCTCTGTGTCTGAGACTCTCAGAGGGGTATGTGTGGCAAGGGAAAGTGTGTGCACGTCACCCTAGAGGCCGTGTGACACATGAGTGGGAGGGTGTGTGTGACATGCAAGGGGGCGTGTGGGGGAAGCTGAATGGGCCAGCTTTGGGTGTGAGCCATGGGAGGCTGTGTGGATCAAGGGAGGCAGTTCCGTGTGTGTGACACAGGCGTGTCTGGGGTGGGGCGGGACCAGGGGAAGCTGGTGAGGGTATGTGACAAGGGTGTGGGTGTGACTCCAAAGAGCCTGTGGCTGGGTGTGACACATGGAGGTGTGCAACGGTGACATCAGAGGGGGCGTGTGCGACAAGGGAAGGTGGGTGTATGACAGGAGAGGCTGGGGCTCTGTGGGTGAACTGCACGAGGGTGTGTAACAAGGGGAGGGAAGGATGGGTGCCTGTGTGACAGGGAACAGGGAGCGTGTATATATGACACCCAAAGGCTATGGAAAGGGAAGGTGTGTGTGTGTGTAGCTGTCACATGGGGCAGGTGTTTGTGTGAAATGGTTGAGTGTGTAACACTAGGAATGTGAGAGTGATCTGTGTGTGTGAGAGAGACAAGGGATTGTGTGTGTGTGTGTGAGGTCTAGTGTTTGATAACACGGAAGGTGTGTGCGTGGAAGACAGGAGGGCCCCTCGCTGTGTGTGACCTGAGGAGGCAGGTGTGCCAAAGAAAAGACAAGCTGGTAACTCTAGGTGTGATGTCACTCTGGCCAGGGACTCAGGAAGGAGATGGGGATTCTCGGAGTCCTCAGAGCCCAGCCTATTAGCTCCCTGGATGGAGGGAGACCCCAAAGCAGACAAGCCCCTCCCCTCGGTCACCTTGGCCAAAATCTGCTTCCTCTGGCCTTTTCCTCCGGATGGGAGAGGGATGGCCTGGGGCAGAGCGCACTCTCCCCCTCCACCCTGCACTGTAGTGGGTGGGGCGGGGGCCTCCCACCTTCTCCCCTCGATTCTCTGTCCTCCCGCTCCGGCCCCCCTCCCACTCCTGTCGAGGTGGGACTGGAACCGGGGACCCCCTGACTGCCTGGGAGGGGGTGTCCAGCAGAAATCGAAGGAAAGGGAAGCTGGGGGAAGGGTGAGAGGGAGTTTCCTGTCCTTCTTCCTGCCCCCCCTCCACCCCCAACACACACAGGAATGTGTCCCAGCCAACTTCCTTCCCTCCTTCCTGCTGCGGGCCATTCCCGGTCCGGTCCGGGGAGAGCCCAACCTGCAGCCCGGCCCTGCCCCTGCCCGGGGAAAGGGGTCTCATCGTTCTTTTGAAGGGACTGAGGTGCTCCAGCTCTGATGGCTCAGAGCCGCCCAGCCTAACAATAGTGACGCTGCCAAGGACAGTATGGCCCAAGTCTTTGGCACCTACCACCAGCCCGGCTCTGAGATATGGGTTAATTTCCGAATACGGCCCTCTGGGGGAGACGATTGGAGCTGCTTTTTCACAGGAGGAAAACAGGCTCAGCGAAATGAAGCCACTTGCCCTGAGTCACACAGCTCCGAAGTTGGCGGAGCTTCGATCTATCTGCCTCTGGGCTCCAGGGCTCCTGTGCTTACCTGCTGTGCATCCGGCCTCCCTCAGCCACGGGGAAACTAGGATCAGCCCTGAGGGGGGCTCACCCTCTCCTCCAGACTCTTCCACCTCCCCTCCCCTCGACCCGTGGGGAAACTGAGGCCCAGAGATGCAGAGGGACAGTCCTCTGTTGACAGAAAAACTCAGGAGGCAGCGTTGGGCGAGGATCCAGGACTTTCATTTCAAAATTGAGGGCTCCTTCCAATAATAGTGTCACGACTGAGGGATGCCGGGTCCACCTCACCCCGCTTCTGAGCCGCACAGTCACCACCCGGCTAGCGGGGAAATCCCAATAACCGCGACGATAATAGTAATAACTGCCACCAATATTATTGCTCACGGCTTCAGAGGCGGAATTTCATGTAATTCTCCCAACACTCTATGATGGAATAGTTAATAATACATTATAATAATGGCCAACATCTATGGGCTGCAGTGCGCCAGGAAGCATGGAAAATGCTTGGCACGGACCCGATCGTTAATCCTTATAATTCTGTTATGTTACCCTTCTCACAGATGACAGACTGAGGCACAGAGAGGTTAAGTAACTTGCCCAAGGTCAGTCAGGTAATAGGAGGCAGAGCTGGGGTTTGAACCCGGGAGACTGGCTCCATTCTGTGGGTAGACAGGATAGTGAACCCCGTTTTCAGAGGAAGAAGCCGAGGCTCAGAGGGGAGTCGTCTGGGGTGTCACGGCCCGTCGTGGCCGATGGGGCGGATTGAACTCTGGCTCGCAGCGGCCGCCTGGCCATTCTTGGGGGCTGGTAGGGGAGGGAGTGGCTGTTACCAGTGGCGTCTGCGCACTGTGACAGGGAGTGGGACAGGCGCCAAAGACAGGAAGACTGTCGTGAGGAGGTTGAATGGAGACTCCGGGGAGGAGCCCATCAGAGAAACAAGTGGCTGCAGTCTGCTGGGAAAATAATAGAGTGTCACCTGCCATCCCCCCCCCCAGGTACAGATGGGACTCTTAAAGTGTCACTAGAAAGCAGACTCCTGACTGTATTCTCTGTCACCCCCATACGACCAGAAAAAGCAACTCCCCCCACCACATACACATGGGCGCACACACACCAGTCACACCCCCAACTAGCTTAAGGCAGCCACCTCTTGCTCCCAGCATCCCTCGCTGTTTAACATAAAGACAATGTCACCGAGGGTCAGGAGCCCTAGAGTGAGACCTTCCAGGGGGTTTCATCCCCTCACTGACAGGGGGCGAGCCTGGGGCAAGTTATTCCACTACACCAAGCCTCAGTCTCCGCATCTGGAAAATGAGAGCCACGAGCTCAAGTCCGATGCCCCTCCCGGGGCTGTCTGTGTGGGTTCAATGGCACTTGTATCTGTGAAGCCCTCCGCACAAGGCCTGACAAGTTGGTAAGCCTGGCACTACTGTTATCAGCGTAGGGCTACCGCACCAGCCAGGAAATCGTACCCATCCACCTTTCTGTGGCCCAGAGCAGGGGCCACAACTCCGAGTCGGCATCGCCCCTTTGGCCTCTCGTGCCTTGGAAGCACGCTCCACGCTCCGGTTGTACTGCGTTTCTCACACGTACAGGCACCCCGGTCGGTCACAGACAGACTTCTTCCCACACCTGCCATCCCCGCCCTCCTCAGGGCACCCCTGCTCCCCCCCCCTGCACCCCCGCCGTGGCTTGCCTGTCACCATCACTCCCGCCCTCTCCGGCGACAGTACCAACATCACACCCCAGCCGCCTCAGGGCCCCGTGGAACACCCCGACACTTCCGTCCCCAACCCCCAAACCAGAGCGGGTACCCTGAGAGCGACACCCCAACTTCGGCCCCTCCCCCAGACAGGCGGTCACTGAAAACGCCTCTACAACATATACCCCTTCAGCTCTGCCTTTGTCATTAACGCCTCCCCTTTATTTTATTATTTTTAAATACCCTCCAACCCTCCGCTTAAAGCCACCTGTCAGGGTCAACTCTCTGACACTAAAAAGTGCCGCCCTGGGGCGCCTGGGTGGCTTAGTCGGTTAAGCGTCCGACTTTCGCTTAGGTCATGATCTCGCGGTTCGTGGGTTCGAGCCCCGCGTTGGGCTCTGTGCTGACCGCCAGCTCAGAGCCTGGAGCCTGTTTCAGTCTGTGACTCCCTCTCTCTCTGACCCTCCCCTGCTCACGCTGTCTGTCTCTCTGTCTCCTAGAAATAAATAAAAAACATTAAAAAAAAAAAGTGCCGCCTTTACGCAGCACCCCAAATCTCTGGGGCAGGTAACCGTTATTTAAGGGGAGAGGGGTATTGTTTGCTTTTTGGAAAACTCCAGAAGCACGTCTGAACCAAAGTTCTGGGGACACTAGGAGATGGAAGGCAGTCCCTTCCCCAGGGGCGAATGCTTGACACTGTAGCGGGAGAAAACCATCAGGAGAGCAGAAGTTGGCATCTCTAGTTCTTCGGTCCCCGTCGTGGGTAAAGGGAGCTTCCTGAGTCCCTAGGTCAGCACCAAGAGCTGCCCGGAGGTAGTGGGTGCAGAGTCCTGGCATTCCGATTCTCCTCCGGTAGAAGGGAGAACTTTTCCATCCGTAGAGCTTTGGTTGTTCATACTGGCTGGAAGCGTGTCAGGTCTGGGGGCTCCGGGTTCAGCGGAGGGGCCGTGTCTCCCCTGGTTGCAAGGCAGGCTGGGAAATCGAGCCCTGGCTTTTTTCCTGGGGGAGGCGGGGATCACGTGGGAGGGAGGATGCTCCCACGTGGAAAGGACATGCTGAAGATTGAGGAGCAGAGGGTCAGTTGGCCGCTCTGGCCACTGAGGGTGACTCCTGCCCTGAGTTTTGCAGGTGGAAGGTCCCAGCTGGTCACCCTCCACAGGGGACTGGCCTGAGGTCAGTCTGATAAGGCACCCCACCCCCCAACCCCGCACGCAGAACCCCTAAGATGGTTTAAGGCAGTCCACGGATACACTTTTTTTTTTTTTTTAATTTAACCATTGTATGTTTTCATGATATGCTTCTTTGGGAAAAACCCTAACCAGCCTTCCAACTCTGATTATTAGCAATGATTTTCAAATGTCCTCTTGAAAGAGATGCATTTAAATGTTAAAAGTGAGTGGATTTGAGGGAAATGGACATTTTGTCTCATTCTGCACTGTGTCACCAGCACCTAAAACGAGGCCTGGCGCAGACTGGGTGCTCAGGAAGGATTTGTTGGGGGACAGAAGGGAGGAGGAGGGGAGAAGGAAGTAGAAGGAGGGAGTCAGAGAGACGCTGGGCAGAAGGGCAGTGGGGGCTCCCTTCCATCAGGGAGAGCTCATTCCTCCAAGAAGCAGAGAGAGGCCTGGGGCGCCCCTAGGGGAGAGGTGGTAAAGGAAGTGGGGTCATCCCCCCCCACCATTGCCCAATAAAAACTTCAGACCTTAGGGGGCTCATCTCCCCATTTGGGCCAGATGCTGTGAGAACTTGTGTTCCTAACGTCAGTGCTACTAATGATCGTGATGGAGGTAACGTTAGTTCACATTTCTCAAGTGCTCTACATGCCCGAGACCATTCTAAGTTGTCCCCATTTTATCGATGAGAAAACTGAGGCCCAGAGAGGTGAGGCGGCTTGCGCAAGGCCACGCAGCCTGTCGGTGACGAAATTTCACACTGTCTAGGGCTGTTTCTGCCGCTTCGTAGGGAGATTCCTGGGGAAGTGTGAGACAGAGGGAAGAGAAAATGGGGTGGGGGGGTGTAACCAGTTTTCTTGGAAAGAGATGAATACCTTCCATCTTCAAGAGGGAAGTTCGGGACGAGGCCCCTGGCTGGAGAGCAGATCGGCAGTGAAGTCAAAGAAGGAAAAAGAGTCCTTGGGAGAACGCCCTCCCCTTCTTGCTGAGCCTTCTGGGGATGTAACAGTTTTGGGGGCGGGATCAGGCAAGGGGCCACCTCTGTGAGCCCAAAGAAGAAAGTGAATGGGGGGGGGTCAGGATGATTGATGGGAAGGCACTCTGGGGGGTTAATTACCTAATAGGTTTAGTGGTCTGATGAGGCAAGTTTAAGAGGATTGACTTGGGCTCAGGGCAACCCCTTCATTCCCGACCCCCTCCCCATGCCTGCGAAGCCGCATCCAGCCCCTCACCCCCCCCACCCCCATCTTACCTCATCGGGAAGTTCTGTCTTAAGGGATCAAGCAGAAATGGGCAGGGCTCGCAGCCCCTCACCCTGCCCGCACTTTTACCAGAACCGTTTCTCTTTTATCTGCTCTGTGTGTTGCAGTTTCATGTGAGACATTGAAAATAGGTTTCCTTTGGTTAAAAGAAAAAAATTAAAAAACCAGTGGGGGATGGTTTAAGACCTTAAGCTTTGAGAGCAGAATGGCCTGGCTCCTCCCTTCCTTTCTCCAGTGTTTCATTGCATGCATACTATATGCTGGGCACCAACCACATAAGTCCCTGGGTCACAAGGGTGAGCTCCAGTGACATGCCCCACCATGGACTTCTGTGATACATTCCTCTGAAGGTATAAAACAGGGAGAGGGGATCCATCTCCTCCTCAGGGTTCCAGGAAAGCTTCTAAGAAGAAGCAGCATTTGAGTGAGGACCTGAAGGACAAGAGGAATTCAGTGTGGAAGGGGAGTTCCAAGCAAAGCACATGTGCAAAGGCCCTGAGGTTGAAGGGGGGGGGAGCATTTGAGGAACAAAGATAAAGTTATTGTCTGATGGTCTGATGCACCTAGTGGAAGATGAAGACGTGATGCCGGAAAGAAGTGAGAAGTGCAGGGCCAGATCACAGAGGATATTATGCTGAGAAGTCTCCAGAATTTCTACCCTATGAGAACTTAGGCGCAACAGTTTGGTTAGAAGGTAGGAGAGGTTAGGCACGTGCCTTGAGTGCACTAACAAAGTGCTTTACACGTGACCAAGAAAGTTGAAGGGGCACAGTCCCACAGTGGCCATTGTTAGCACCTCACTGTCTGTGGGTCCTAGAGATTGTCTGCGTGTGTTGGTCTTCAGCTAGCAGCATCGGAAGGTGCTAAGCAAGTGAGGGCCAAGAGCGAAGCAGAATGGCATTGGACTCTTGAGCCAGTGGCTGTCTTGGTGCCCGTGAGCAGCTCACCTTGAGCTGGTGCCTTCACTGTCTCTGTGCCTCAGTTTCCTCCTACGTAAAAATGGAGCTCATTATACCCACCTCATTGGGAGTTGTAGGGAATGGTTGAGGTCAAGCTTGCGAAGCACTCAGCACAGTACAGGGTGTGTATTACGTCTTGAGAACATATCTGGAGTCCAGCCCTCCTCCCCGCCATCCCCAACACCCCTCGATGGTTCCACCAGTCAGATTACCATTACCTCCTCTGCTCAGAGCCTTCCTATGGTTCCCATCTCGCTTGGAGTAAAAACCAAAGACCTCACTGAGGTCCACAAACTTCAACAGCCCACCACTACCACGATCCCTCCCAGCCTTCCCTCTCCCTCCCTCCTTCTACTCTCCCCATCACCTCCTCAACCCCAGCTACACTGGCTGCCTCACTTTCCCTCGGACAACTCAGGCACAATCCCACCCCAGGGCCTTTGCACTTGCTCTCCCACGGAGCCACACGGTTCCCTTCCCACCTCCACAGACTGGAGACAATATATCACAACGGTCCAGAGCCTAGACTCTGAAGCCAGGTTGGGTTCAAATCTCAGCACTGCGACCTACCAGCTATGTGATCCGGGGCAATTATTTCACCTTTGTTTCCTCGTCTGTAAAATGGGCTTTTACAAGTACTTCCTTCATGGCATCGGTGTGGAAATTCAAAGAACTGGTATTTGTACAGTAGTTGGAACGAGTCTAGTGTGTACTAGTTTCTATAGAAGGATTTGTTACACAGAGAATGCTACATTCTTGGGGAGGGCCTTCCCGGCCACCGGATCTGACACTGCAACTCTCCCTACAATCCCTGTCCCCTTTTCCTGCCCCTTTTTGTTTCCCTCGGTGCTCACACCATCCAACATAAAACATACTGTCTGTCCCCCCTCCTCCCCGCCCCCAAAGAATGTAGCTGTGCGAGCTCTTGGCTGAATCACCAAAACTCTTTCGGTCTTACTTGCCCCATTTGCCTGCGAAATCAGGGAGTTTGTCTGTTTCCCTCACGGCTGTTTCGCTAAAACAGTGTCAAGCATGATGTAGCGGGAGCTCTTTGTGGAATGAATGAATGAGCGAGTGAATGAATGAACGTCATTATTTGTGTTATTTTCCCTACTGCTCTCCTCATGGTCACGGCTCCTGTATGTTTCTTGATGCCAGCGGTTTCCTTATTGCCCACACCGTGCTGAAGGTGAAGACCCCTTCCCCTGACCCCCTTACCTCCCCCCCTGCCCCATGTGCCCCTGCAGAGGAAGGCGAATACTTCCTGAAGGTGCTGATCCCCAGCTACGCGGCAGGCTCCATCATCGGCAAGGGCGGGCAGACCATCGTACAGCTGCAGAAGGAGACAGGAGCCACCATCAAGCTCTCTAAGTCCAAAGACTTCTATCCGGGTGAGCCCTGGCCCAGGACTGTGCCCTAGGCCTCCGGTCCTCCCACCTGGGCCCTGGATGAGGGGGAAGGGCTGCCCTTGGGGCAGTAAGACTGCTGGTGGGGGGGCACCTCCCCCTCCTAAGGGGACAGAGCTGCCCTCAGCCCCAGGGGCCAGGCCTGAGCAGATGGGGGTGGGGGCAGGGCAAGACAATGGCCTGCTGCATATTCATGAGCTCATTTGCATGATGTGCTGGCAGATGTGCCCCTTCCCACACACCTGCCCCTTTGGGTCAGTTGGAGTTGCTGGGGGGGGTGGGCAGGGAGGCAGGTGTCGGGGTGTCCCCTGGGGCTTGGAGGGGCAGCCATCCGTGTTGCACACCCCCCGCCGCTTCTTTGCCCCCCACTCTTTCCCTGTGGGTTTCTCTGTTACCCCATCTTGCCCAGGCTGAGGCTCGCTGGTTTTCTCTGTGCCGTTGTTCCCATGTCTTTCTCATTCTGTTTCTGACTTGCCGTCTCTCGTTCCCTGAGTCTCGATGCCCATCCGCCCTCTCTCTGGCTCCTCCGGCTCCTCTTTTTTGCTTCCATCTCTCTGATTGTCTTTGGATCCCCCATGTCTTCTTCCCATGGATCAGTCTGTCTCTGCTTTTCCTCTTCTCTCCCTCCCTCCTCTTCCCCCCCTCCTTCCTGTCCCCAGCTTTCCCTTGCTCTCCACCTCTCCTGGTCTCACGGTTTTCTTCCTCTCGCTCCTTAGCTCTCTCTGCTCACTCATCCACTCAACCAGTATTTAGTAGCACCCCTCAGCGGGGTCACTCTGCTGGATTGGCCCCCATGTCTCCCTGCCTCTGCTTCCGCATCTCTCCTTTTATGTTTCCGTCTCAGTCTCAGCCTCCTTCATGGTTTTCCTTTCCTTTCTCCAAACCCAGCCCCTTTTCTGCCTTTTATCCAGCTCTCTCTCTCCCACAAGCATAAAATTTTCAAGACACCCCCCCCCACTCGCTCTAATCCCCCTGTGTATGTGCCCTTCCATCTCTACCTCCCAAGACCAATGCCTGACCTTCGACATCTAGGAATCCAGGGAAGGCCCCCAGAATTGCATCTTCGGTCCAGAGCTAGCTCTAGTTCATCCTTAATCCCCTTGGATTTTTTAGGTCAGACACCAGAGCTGCAGCCCAGGGTCAGGACACATTTATATTCTCTCTCTCTCTCTCTCTCTCTCTCTCCCTCCTCCCTTCACCCACCCTGCCTCCCATCTCACTAAGCAGCTTTGGCAAGAGGTTTAGAGAGCAGTCCAGGGAACCAGGCACACGCGCGCGCACACACACACACACACACATACACACACACACACACTCGCACGCCGCTTTCCTCTTCCACCCTGGCCTAGTTTCTCCCACACCCCCTAGGCCCACAAGATACGGATAAGAACCTTTACTTGGGACACTTATCTGAATCCTTGGTTCCTCACTCCTGGATCACATTCTGTGACATGAGACACATCACCTCCTCCCAGCTCAGTGGCACACCCCACAGTCCAGGCGGCTGAGATCCCCAGAGGACAGGATCACCTTTGGCTGTCCTGGGCCAAATGCCACTCAAACAAGCAACGTGAGCCAGCACCTCTCCCCAGCCCCAGGACATGCGGCCAGCGTGCGAGCGCGCGCGCGCACACACACACACACACACACACACACCCGTTGCTGACATGGAATTTCTAGATCATATGACATGTGCCGGCTCTTGACTCAGAGATGCAGGACAAGGCCTTCTACATCCCCCAGGACTTCCCACGATCCACAGGGACATGACAAGTGAAGATGCCACTGCTTGAGACCAAGAGCTTAGTTCCCTCTGCTCCCGGCTAAACCCCTTTCATCAATTTATTCAACCCACATTCTCTGAACACCTACTGGGTGGACAGAGATGAGGACATAGCAGGGACTGAGATGTCCTGCCCTTTCCCAGTGGGGAAGACAGACTGAATGCCAGCAATGACCCAGCATAGTCCGGGCTAAGACAGGGAAGCCCAGAGGGTGGTGGCAGCCCTGCCAGGGCACCTGACCCAGCCTGGAAAGGTCAGGGAAGACTTCCTGGAGGAGGAGCCCGGGACAATAAGTAAGAGTGAACTAGATAAAAGCAGGGAAGAGTACTCCAGGAAGATGAACTAGCATGTTCAAAGGCCAGAGGGGTAGTTGGTTCAGTGTGACTGAAGCATCCAGAACGGATGACAAAGGACAATCAGTAACATCTAAAGGGCCCTCTAGTGTTTCAGAGTCCGTCACTCCCTCTCTCTCTGACCCTCCCCTGCTCACGCTGTCACTCTCTCACTCCTGGAAATAAATAAAACATTAAAAAAATTTTTTTAAAGGGCCCTCTAAGCCTTATGGGTTCACACATGATCACACAGACAGATGGACACACACACACACACACACACACACACACATACACACTGCACTTGTGTCTACTACATGAAACAAAAACCCACCTGACCTTTAACCCCAAGGGAGGGGCAAAGCACAAAGGGTGTCCCCTCCTTAGTACAGGGAACTCTCAGCCCCAGACTCATCATCCAGATCGTACACGGAGGAGCTGCGACCCAGAAAGCAGGTGCCTTCCCAAAGCCACGCAGACTTCTGTCCATCCACACAGACACCCTAGACAACTTCTGATTTTGAGCATTTCCCCAAAGCTCTGTTCCCAGAAGAAAAGCACAGACACACACACTTTTTAAAAAAATATATTGATTTATAATGTATTTGCCTTAAAGTGCAAAATCTTAAGTGACTACTGAGTAAATCCATACACATTCTTTGCAAAAATGCAATCATTTTATGCCTTTCCCCCAACATACACATAGACACACACTCTCTCTCTCTTTCCCTCTCCCTCTTTCTCTCTTTCTTTCTTTCTCCCTCTCTCTCTCCACACACCCCATATTTAACACAGGGTGGCTCAGTGGTTAAAAGCCCAGACTCTGAAGCCAGACACCTGCATTCAAAACCCTGACCTTTCACTATTGGCTGGGTGAACTTGGACAAATCCCAAACCTTCTCTGCACCTCAGCGTCCTTAGCAGTAAATCAAGAATAATAGTATTGCCTACCTCAGACTTTAAGTGCACAACTATATACAAAGTGCTCAGATTGGTGCCTAATACTCAGTATTTTGTAAGCACCAGCTGTCATTACTGGACACTCTGTCAGGGGTTAACTGAGCCCTTTCCCCAACAAAGCCCTTGCGGACCCGAGTTAAGAACGACGAGGGGTGGGAAGTCACAGACTCCTGAGCTGGAAGGGAGCCACGCAGAAATGGAGAGAGGAGCTATGTTAGCCAGGCTGTCCCTGGGGCCCCCCCTCCCCCCCCCAGTTCCCACCCTGACCCACACCCTTTCCTATTTACACCCAGACGGAGGCAGCCTGCACGCTGACTCACCCTTGGCTCAGACCAATCCATTGTTCTGGGGCTGGCGGGAATAAGAGTGAGGAATGGCGGCCCAAAGGAGAAGGGGAATGTCAACTACACGAGTGACCCAAGACAGTGACACCCAGATGCACGGAGAGAGACTGCCAGATGCATGCCAGGCTGAGACATGGCAAGCGAGGGGTCAGAGGGCACCGTCGTCCTAGAGCACCCACGGGACACCAGACACTCACCCCCAGATGTCCCAGACACTTGGGCACACGAAGCCCAACACACACTCAAACCCAGGGAGCTCACTGGTCCTGCCAGCAGAGTCCCACCCCAGGAGAGAGACAGTCACCCGCTCCACACACCAAGCATGCCTGGCCCCCCTGGGCACTCACAGTTGTCCCACAGGCCAGTCATAGTAGAGTCACCTTTGTCCAATTGTAATGTGTACACCAAGACACACACTCAGACACATCGGTCATCCCCAGTCTCACGTACTGACACGTGAGTCTGCCTGTCACTCTCATATACACATTCACATACACACAAGTCATAGTCTTGTCTGTCTGTCTCCTGTACAAACGCTCATACACATACACACACGTACCACACCCCAGTCATACAAATAGCCTTTTTAAAAAAAGTGTTTATTTATTTCTGAGAGAGAGAGACAGACAGAGCAAGCAGGAGAGGGGCAGAGGGAGGGAGACAAAGAATCCGAGCTGTCAGCACAGAGCCCCACGCGGGGCTCGAACCCATGGACCATGAGATCATGACTGGAGCCAAAGTCGCCCCGAGCCTTTTGAACACCTAAAGGTTGTCTCTTTCTTGCCAACACTCCCACTGATATCTGGTCTCAAAGTGATACACGCTCATCACACAGCCTCAATGCTGCTTCATAAGATTCTTTGTTTCTGTCTCTCAAACTCTCATGAACTGGCAGCTTGGTCTCACAAATAGTATACATACCCTTGAACTTCACAGTGACATCCAGAGTCTTTCCCATGCACAAGAGTGCATGTATCTTTACTGGATTCACTATGTCACGCTGTCTTTCCCACTCTTTCTCTGACACACATACACAGGTAAAGATAATTTAGCCAGTCCTGCCCAGGTATACACATGCACGTATGCACATGCGCATGCGTACACACACACACACACACACACACACACACATACACAATAAGCATGCCTAGATTAGAACCACAGCCAATATCTAGACGGTCTCCAGCAGAGGCATCCACCCCACCCTCTTCTCTCCATCCCTGAGTCCCTGCCCTTCCACGAGTTGCCTCTGCTCTCCCCCGTCCACACCCTTGCCCTCCCCCACCCTTCAGCCCTCCATCTGGTGGGTCCAGGCAGGCACTCAGGCCTCTCCTCTACCTCCCCCATCCCCCAGCCCTTCCCCATCCTCTCCAAAAGCCCAGAGGCCTTCGCTGCAGGCTTTCAGGGGTTGCCACGGCAACGGGGCTTCGTCCCTCGTCCCCCTGGGGGTGGGCTGAGGACCCGGCCAGCCAGACCGATAAGGGGGTTCCAGTTACTGTGGCAACCGTTGCAGGCCTGAGCTCTCAGCTTCTGGGGGGGGGGGGTTGGAGGGAGGGAGTGAATGGTTGCCAGAGCAACAGGGAGCCAGCAAGGACTGGGAAGAGGCAGCTGAGCCCTGTCTCCCCTGCCCAGGGCTGCTGTGGGCATCTCGAAGCACTTACGCATCATCCTTCCATCCCCCTGGGCTTGTTTTGGGGGAGGGACATGAAGTGCAGATTATAAAACAGGCATTCCACTCACTTTTCCAGCTACCCATCATGGCCTGAGAACCCGGGATGCCAGCTTCCTCAGGCTTGCTTATCGTGGGACCTGGGTCCAGGCAGGTCCACTTTCTGGACCTAGGTTTTCTCTTTCCACTAAGTGGGACCTGTCTCCCAGGAATTTTCCTCTTCCTGTCTGATGAGTGTGTCCTCTCTCTCCCTTGCTCAACAGGAACCACAGAGCGAGTATGCCTGGTACAGGGCACAGCAGAGGCCTTGAATGCTGTGCACAGTTTTATTGCTGAGAAGGTCCGAGAAATCCCACAAGCAATGACCAAGCCTGAGGTGGTCAACATCCTTCAACCCCAAACCACGATGAACCCCGACAGAGCCAAGCAGGTCAGCAGGGGCAAAGACTGGGTTTCTGTAAAGCCGGTGAGGTTCGGGAGAAGACCCTTCTCCCATATCACTGGATTACGGTGGGAGTTCAATGGGATAACGCCTATAAGAAGTTTGTCATTCAAATACGTGGTAGTAGTTAGTCATATTATTAGGGAATCAGCCTAGGGACTCCAAACCTCTTGGAGTGGGCTTGATTCAGAGAGAGTGAAGGTTTGGGAGAATTTGGCCCAGACCCTCCCACCTCACCCCAATTTATCCCTCCTTCCTGGGATTCTCTAGACCTCTATTTACTTCCACCTCATCCCATTGTCTCCCAGAGCAACCTGCCTCCCACTTCCTGTTCTCACCGGAAGTGGCTTCAGTGACAGCCCATGCACGTCCAGAAGAGTTTAGAAATGGCTTCATACTCCCTCTCTCCATTAATTATTGTATGAGAGTAGACACCATTTTGGAGAAATGGTATTTTGCTAGCGAGAGAGAAGGCAGGTCCCTCTCCTACACAGCTCTCTCTAGGAGGGATGAAAGGAGGAGGGCGGTGCCTCTTGGTTGCCTCAGTTACAGGGAAGCGGCGGTGTAGGGGCGTGGCATAGAGCGGACCAATCACTATCCCGGCCTCTCTGGTTGCCATGACCACGGCGCTCACCGGGCAGGTGGGCTTGAGGCAAGGGCCCTGGCGGCGTGGCCCTGAATGGGAAGGAGGCGGAGGCGAAGGGACCGCGCGCACTGCCGGTTTTCTCTCCCTTTCCCCCGCTCCCATATACTTGTGCAGACGAGGCAAAGGGGAGAGAGTCTCTGGCAGGAAGACAGGCCACTTGTGAGGGTTCCTAAACGTCTGCCTAGAAGCAAAGACAAGAGACAGACCCTCGGTAAAGGAATCTGGAATTCTTGGGAATTCTTGTTGTCCTGAGATGGGAGAAACCACGGACCTGAGTTCCCCCAAGCTCCTGGGAAAACGGTGGGCGGAAAACCCTGGAAGAATGCTGCCTAGCGGATCGTTCCCAAAAAAGACTCCGGGCTTGGGGCTTGGAGCGCGGCTGCTGTCCTTGGTGCTGAAGCGGCCCGGCCAGGTCTCTCCCGATTTCCTTCCCACCAGCAGGCCACAGTTTACACACAGTTTACAGGGTCCCGAGGATGTTGCCTCTTCCCTCTGCCTTGGTGGCGGCCTCAGAGGGCTCAAAGTTCACGAAGAGTTTGCACAAGTTGCAGAGAAACGGGGTCAGCAACAACGGCGCCTGATCCTTCCACCCCATCCCCTAGTCCACAGGCATTCTCACATAGTGGAATTGAAAGGTTATAGAACCTGGATTTTCCCTTTCCTTACTTATTACTGGGGCGCTTCAAAGAATGAAAGAGTTGAGGCTGAAGGCGCAGGCTCTGGAGTCCGTTGTTGAGTTGAATCTTACTCTGATAATGTACTTCTTACCTGTGCAACCTTGAACAAGTGACAGTTTCTCCATGCCTCAATTTTTCTCATCTGCAAAATGAGATTCAGTAGGGTAGCTGCTGGAGGGCAGTGATTAGTGTTCACGGGTGTTTAAACAGCACGTAGCATGTATGCCTAATACATAGAAAGTTCTCAAAAAAATGTTAGCTGCTGCTATTATGGGATTTTTAAGTCAGGAGATGGGTCTGCTCTCTTTCTACATTGAACTTGCTGTGTTACTCTGGGTGCCTTTCCCTTCTGTAAGCCTCAGTTTCCTTTCTTTACAGTGTGGAAGCTGGGACAAATCAGGGATTATAAATTGAAATGCCTCCAAGATTCAGCAAGGGAACATAAAGAATTGAGGACTCTGGCCTCATCAGAGAGCTATAATGCCCTAAACGGGGCAGCTGCTACTCAGCTCTACTTAATTCTTGCCCTTTGGGAATGTAGACAAAGTGTGGCCAACATCTTCCACATTTTTCAAAAAGAGGCCAGAAATATTTGAAATCAGCTGATTTTTAAATGTTGGCTCAGTCTTAAAAACACCATGTACGGGGCACCTGGGTGGCTCAGTCGGTTAACCGTCTGACTGTTGATCTCAGCTCAATTCTTGATCTCAGGCTTGGGACTTCAAGCCCCACATTGGGCTCCACACTGGGCAAGGAGCCTACTTAAAAACGAAACAAAACAACTATGTGGCTGTGGGCTGAGGACCACCAGTTTGCCATCTCTGGACTAGACCAGTGGTTCTCAGCCCTGGCTGATATCTATCCTCTAGGTAGCATAGAATGCAGATTCCTGGGTCCCAGCCCAGAGCCACTGCTGAATCAGAATTTCCAGGGTGAAGGCTTGGGACTCTGAACACAAATTCTGGACTGAGACCAGATCCTGGCTCTATTACTATCTGTGTGACCTTGAACAAGTTATTTAACCTCTCTTGCCTCTGTTTTGCAATCCATAAAATGTGATAATAATAGTACCTAACATATTCGTGTAAGGTGGTTGTAGAGATTAAATTGCTGTATGAAAGTGTTTACAGAAGTGTCTGGCATATGGAAGCACTGTTAGCTTCTGCTTTATTATTATTACTATTATTATTATTATAATTACTATTTGAAAATTTCCACAGACTTGCAAGTCATGGGGACAGATAGTCTCTCAGGTCTTTCTGGCCCTAAAACCCCTCCAGTTCTATGGCTCTGTGATGTCAAGATTCTAGACATACATTATTTTAAAACTCTACCATTCTAACATCCTGGCACTCCAGGATTCTAAGGACCTGCACCTGCGATCTCTCTAAAATGCCGTGGTTCTACCATCTGAGCCTATCATGAAGACAGCTACCGTTTTCTGAGGGCTTCCCATGTGCCAGCCACTCCAATCATTGGGTATTCCCAATAGTCATGTGGAGATAAGGAAACTGAGGCACAGAGGTGAAGGCATTTGCTTTTACCATTTCTTGGGGAACAGTTACTTCATCCTTTTGCTCTCTGAAGTCCTGTATCATACTAAATACCTCTTTACTCGTAGGTCTGGTTTTGTGCATTCTGTTCTATCTGCTTGACTTGTCTGACATTTTTCTGATGATTTTTTTTTAAAATAACGGCTGTGTTGAGATATAATTCGCACACTGTAAAGTTCACCATCTTAACGTATACAATTTATCAGTTGTTCAGTATATTCACAAAATTGTGTGTCAATTCACCTAATGTAATTCCAGAACATCTTCACCACTCCAAAAAGAAGCCCCATACCCCTTGGCAGTCACTTCCATCCCCCCGCCTCCCCCACCCCCCGCCCCCGTCCCTTCCAACCACTAACCTACTTTTGGTGTCTATGGATTTGCCTATTCTGGATGTTTTATATAAATTGAATGATATAATATGTGGCCTTTTGTGTCTGGCTTCTTTCCCTTAGCCTCATGTTTTCAAGATTAATCAGTATTGTAACATAGACTGAAACTCCCTTGCTTTTTATGGCCAAATAATATTTCACTCTATGGATAGACCACATTTTGTTCGTCTGTCTATCAGTTGATAGCCCTTTGAGCTGTTTCTGTTTTTCAGCTGTTATGATTAATGCTGCTCTGAACATGTGGGCACAGTTTTCTCTTCTTGGGGTATATACATATGAATGGGATTGGGTCAGATGATATGGCTAACTTTTTGAAGAACTGTTAGACCATTTTGCAAAGTGGCTGTACCACAGATGTGATATTTAAATCTAGGTCTGCCCATGGGGGTAACAACCATTTCCTGAGTACCTACTATGAGCACATGTTAACTGCATGCTCACGTGGCACCCTACGCTTAGCACATAGTAGGTGCTCAGCAGATGCTGCTGGTTTGAATAAATGGATGATGATATCCCCATAAGAGCCAAGCAGAAACAACCAAAGGGCAGTAGCCCCTTACTCAAGCTCATCATCTCATGAATGAGCTCAGTTAGGCCTCACAATACTTCTATGGAGCAGGAATGAATAGCCCCATTTTATAGATGAGAAAATGGAATCTCAAAGAGGGTATGTCCATTGCCCAGCATTAGTGGTGGAGCCAGGATTTTGAACCCAAGCAGGTGTCTCCAGAGCCCAGGCAGCTTTTCAGGGATGTGTGTGTACAGACTGCACACACACAATGGCTCATAGAACTTTGGAAGAGATCACCAGTATATAAAAACGAGGGTGCTTCCCATTCTACAAATCAGAATTTCCAATTAATCTAGAAAACTCAGATCAGGCTGAGTTTTCTACCTCCCTGCCTACACACGCATGTGCGTGCGCGCGCGCGCGCACACACACACACACACACACACACACCACCAGGTGAAATACACCTGGCCACCTCCATCCAGTCCCATTCTTGCTTCGTCCTGTGGGCACATCATTGCTCCTTCTTCCATCCATCCATCCATCCATCCATCCATCCATCCATTCATCGTCCATCCATCCACACACTCTTGCTGAATACATACCAGGCATCCCCCGAGGCCCCAAGAACCCAGTAGTCAACAATCCAGACTAAAATCTCTACCCTTGTGAATCTTACATTCCTTCTTGGGGACACCAAAAACCGGCAAGTGAATAAAATAAGTAAATGACAGAGAGTGAAAGGTGCCAAGAGGAAAAATAAAGCAGAAAAGAGGAGAAAACAACACCGGGGCATTTTTTTTCTCCTAACTTCTCTTCCTAACTTAAAGATTTTGAAAATCTTTAAGAGTAACACAATGAACTCCCTATGCAGTGCACTTACATTGACCAGTTGTTAACATTTGCTTTGTCTCTTCACACACACACACACACACACACGCACGCACAGATTGGTTTTATTTGTCTGTTTGTTGGGTTGTTTCTTTGTTTTTGCTGATCCACTTGAGAATAAGTATAAACCTCACCACTCTTCACCCCTACATTCTTCAGCATGCGCCTCCCAAGGCTAAGGGCGTGTCCTATATTGTTATGTTACTATTATCACACCTACAAAAACTAACACCAGTTCCATACTTTTAGTTAATAAAAAGTTCATGGTCACATTGTCCCCAAATATCTTTTATATCTATAAAGTATTTGTTTTAATTTTTTTAATGTTTATTTTTGAAAGAGAGAGAGAGCCAGCAGGGGAGGGGCAGAAAGAGGGAGACACAAAATCTGAAGCAGGCTCCGGGCTCTGAGCTGTCAGCACAAGGCCCGATGCGGGGCTCGAACCCACAAACCAAGAGATCGTGACCTGAGCTGAAGTCAGATGCTTAACCAACTGAGCCACACCCAGGCACCCCTACAAAGTATTTTTCTATGCAAGAATATTCATGCCTTGCATTGGGCTATTATATACCTCATTAGTCTCTTTTAATCTAGAATAGTCTAATATATATTAGACTATATATTAATATATATTTCTAAGATTTTATTTTTTTAAGTAATCTATACACCCAATGAGGGGCTCAAAATTGCAGCCCTGAGATCAAGACTCATACGCTCTACAGAATGAGTCAGCCAGGCACCCCATCTACTACGTATTTTGAAGGTAGAGGTAACAGAATGGCTGATTGGGTGTTGAGTGAGAGGAAGAGGAATCCTAAGTCTTTTTTTTTTTTTTAATGTTTTATTTATTTCTGAGAGAGAGAGAGAGAGAGACAGCATGAGCAGGGGAGGGTCAGAGAGAGAGGGAGACACATAATCTGAAGCAGGCTCCAGGCTCTGAGCCGGCTGTCAGCATAGAGCCTGACGCGGGGCTCGAACCCGCGAACCATGAGATCATGACCTGAGCCGAAGTCGTATACTTAGCCGCCACCCAGGTGTCCCAGAGGACTCCTAAGTCTTGAGCCTGGGAAATGAAAGAGTGAAGTTTCCACTGTGGAAATGAGGAAGACCATGGTAGGAACACATTTGAGAAGATGAGGAGTTCCACTTTGGACTTTAAGTCTGAGGTGTCCATTCTTGATCACACTAGCGATGTGAGGTTAGCAGTTGGATACAAGTCTGGAGGTGTCTGTACAGGGACATAAAACAAGCAAATAAACACACTTTGATAACTGGAGTGGTAAGGTCCCTCTCCAAGGAGGTGCATTTGTGCAAAGACCTGAATGATGAGAGAGGTGAGTCTTCTCTTCGGGGAAGGAACATACTAAGTGAAGGAATAGCAGATGCAAAGGCCCTGCGTCTGGACCAAGCTTGCAAGCTGGAGGAACAGCAGGGAGTCTAGTGGTCTGCAAAGGAGTCAGCAAGAGGGAGGGAGGGAAGACTTGAAGTCAGATTACACAGAATGCAGCAAACAGAACAGGTGTTCTCAGCTTTGTCAAAGCCTACTTCCTGTTTCTCCTACAAATGTTTTCTCCCATCCCACTTAACTCTGAAATTATACACACACGCATACACACTCATTGCAGTACATGAAGAAAATGCATATAATAGTGATATATTACATATCTAAATCTGTAAGATTTTTAACAGTTTTATCAAGATATTAATTCGCATACATACAATTCACCCATTTAAAGTGTGCAGTTCAAAGTTTTTATTATGTTCTGAATCGTGCATCCATGCCCACAATCAATTCTAGAACATTTCATTTCCTTGAAAAGAAATCTTGATCCCCATAGCTATCACTCCTCAATCCGCACAGCTCAGCACACACACACACACCCCCACCCAGGCCTAAGCCACCACTAATCTACTTTCTGTCTCTATAGATTTCTCCACTCTGAACATCCATATAAATGGAATCATACAGTATGTAGCCTTTTGTGTCTGGCTTCGTTTCACACAGCGTGTTTTCTAGGTTCATCCATGTTGTAGCCTGGATCAGTACTTGGTTCATTTAAGTTGATTGCCAAAGAATATTCCATTGTGCGGATGTACGTTTTCTTTATCCCATAAGACTTTTTTGCATAAGAAATGAAAGAAAGGTGATTTGCTATAAAAGGAGATGGATTTTAATATGTAAATGTTCAGCCAGGACCCCAGTAGAGTAATGAAATAGTTCGCTGCTCACACCTCACATAGCCTGACCGAGAGGGACAGTGACAAACACAGGGATCCATGGTATAGCATCTGAGATGTAAATAATACATGTTTTGTTACTACTGTTGTCATTTTTTTTTTTAATGATGAACAACTCTTGGTGAAGTTCAGAACAAAACAAAGTACGATCTTCCCTTCATTTACTGATGGGTTGCATTCCTGGAAATTTCAGTAGATCTTAACCATGGAGGGAAACAAAACTAGGTACTTATATAGATCATGGGGTTCAGGTTTGGGCTCTGAGATTTATAAACAGACTTTTTACCCACATTGCATGTCCAGGGAGGCCTTTAAAAACCATACAGGGGGCACCCGGGTGGCTCAGCTGATTAAGCGTCTGTGACTTTGGCTCAGGTCACAATCTCACAGTTGGTGGGTTCGAGCTCCGTCTTGGGCTCTGTGCTGACAGCTCAGGCCTGGAGCCTGCTTTGGATTCTGTGTCTCCCTCTCTCTGTCTCTGCCCCTCCCCTCCTCATGCTCTGTCTCTCTCTCTCAAAAATAAGTAAACATTTTTTAAAATTTAAAAATAAAAACAAAAGCTCTAGGGGACTTGGACGTTTGGTCCTGGTGAAGAACTGACTCTTCCACTATGGGGTGCAGAGACCCAAGGCCCTGCCCACTGAATGCCTGTATCTGCTTCCAGTCATCACGACAACCCCCAAACACCCCCAGGGTCTGGCTCAGGGGCAGAGAGGAGACACAGGGGTGACAGCTTCAGGGGGTGAAACCCACAGGTCTGACAGGACACGGGGGAAGATTGAGAAAGAGGAATTTCGGGTGGAAATGTTCTCGGATATGTGAAAGGAGACTCTGAGTGTTGCAATCCCCCCACCGGAACACAGACTGATCGGATTTGCAGCGCCAAAGGTCTGGCGGCTCTGCACCCTAGCAGGGGACCACTGTTATCTAAGCGACCGATTTTCTCCCTCCTTCGCCGATGTAAGGTCTTGTTATCTTCATTTTACAGATAGGACAACCGTATTAGATTCCAGGGCTGCCCTGACAAAGCGCCACAGACCGGTGGCTTAGGCAACAGAAATGCATTCGCTCCTAGTCGGAGCCTGGAAGTCTGCGATCTGGGGCAGTGTTGGTTTCTTCGGGGGCCTTTCTCCGTGGCCTGCAGATGGTCGTCCTCTCTCTGTGTTCTCACAGTCTTCCCTCTGTGCGTGCCTGTGTCCTAATCCCCTCTTCTTATAAGGACACCGGTCCTATTGAATCAGGACCCGCCCCGGAAGCCTCACTTAACCTCCTTCAAGTTGCCTCCTTAAAGACCCTCTCTCCGGGGGTGCCTGGATGGCTCAATAAGTTGAGCATCCATCCGACTTCAGCTCTGGTCATGATCTCACAGTTGGTGAGTTCGAGCCCCGCGTCAGGGCTCTGTGCTGACAGCTCAGAGCCTGGAGCCTGCTTGGAATTCTGTGTCTCCCTCTCTCCCTGCCCCACCTGTACTTGCTCACTCTCTCTCTCTCAAAAAGAAATAAACATTAAAAAATTAAAAATAAAATAAAGACCCTCTCTCCGAACGCAGCCCTATTCCGAGATACTGGGGATCATGGGAATGGTGAGGGGAGCAATTTGGCTCATAACAAAAAAGAGGTGAAGGGAGGCGACCTTGCCACAGGGCGGGAAACACCAGGGAGCAGGAGTCTGTGAGGCTGGATTTCCACTCCTTTGCTATCTGGGTCACCTTAGGGCAAGCCCCGTCATCTCTTAGGCCTCAAGCGGCTCATCTATAAAGTGAGACTTAATGAGCCCTTTTCTGGGGCTGGGAATCAGAGTGTTCAACGATCTAGAAGGCGTGGGCACCAATGTAAGCCGGGAACAGTGTCCTGGAGGGCCCCCACTGGGTCAACCATTAAGCCTCTAAGGTGCTGGATGGAAGGGAGGTCCGAGGGGTCCCAGGGGCACGGAGCAGGGTGGCTGAGCGCCTACTGAGGGGACTTGGAGTAGTAGCTTTTTTTTTTTTTTTTTTTTTTTTAACCAACCAATAGGGAAGTATTTTACTATTTTTAACAACGCGTAGAACCCTTGAGGTGCCCGTCAAGGGGCACACCGGGCCTGGTTTGGGGCACTTGAGGGCATGGGCGAGGATGACTCCTGATTTCCCGTTCAGCCTCCACCCACGATCCTTAAAGACCCTCCCTCTCGCTCCACACGCAGGCCAAGCTGATCGTCCCCAACAGCACCGCGGGCCTGATCATCGGCAAGGGGGGCGCGACAGTGAAAGCCGTGATGGAACAGTCGGGTGCCTGGGTGCAGCTGTCCCAGAAGCCGGAGGGCATCAACCTTCAGGAGCGCGTGGTGACCGTCAGCGGCGAACCCGAGCAGGTGCACAAGGCCGTGAGCGCCATCGTGCAGAAGGTACAGGAAGACCCCCAGAGCAGCAGCTGCCTCAACATCAGCTACGCCAACGTGGCTGGCCCCGTGGCCAACTCCAACCCCACCGGCTCGCCGTACGCCAGCCCCGCCGACGTGCTGCCCGCCGCCGCCGCCGCCTCGGCCGCCGCCGCCTCCGGCCTGCTGGGCCCCGCGGGGCTGGCGGGCGTGGGCGCCTTTCCGGCCGCCCTGCCCGCCTTCTCAGGCACCGACCTGCTGGCCATCAGCACGGCGCTTAACACGCTGGCCAGTTACGGCTACAACACCAACTCCCTCGGCCTGGGCCTCAACTCGGCAGCAGCCTCCGGGGTCCTGGCCGCCGTGGCCGCAGGCGCCAACCCCGCCGCCGCCGCCGCCGCCAACCTCCTGGCGTCCTACGCCGGGGAGGCCGGGGCCGGGCCGGCCGGAGGGGCCGCCCCGCCTCCACCCCCGCCCCCCGGAGCCCTGGGGTCCTTCGCCTTGGCCGCAGCCGCCAACGGCTACCTCGGGGCCGGGGCGGGCGGCGGGGCGGGCGGCGGCGGGGGCCCGCTCGTGGCCGCCGCAGCCGCGGCGGGGGCCGCCGGGGGCTTCCTGACGGCCGAGAAGTTGGCGGCCGAGAGTGCCAAGGAGCTGGTGGAGATTGCGGTGCCTGAGAACCTGGTGGGGGCCATCCTGGGCAAAGGGGGCAAGACGTTGGTGGAGTACCAGGAGCTGACGGGCGCCCGCATCCAGATCTCCAAGAAGGGAGAGTTCCTGCCAGGCACGCGGAACCGGCGGGTCACCATCACGGGCAGCCCTGCGGCCACGCAAGCCGCTCAATACCTCATCAGCCAGCGGGTCACCTACGAGCAGGGAGTGAGGGCCTCAAACCCCCAGAAAGTGGGATGAGGCCTGTGGTGTCTGCTCCCACCCTCCTTCCTGACCCTTCTCCTCTTCCTCTCCTCCCCCTCCCCCACACCCCCAACTCCTGACCTCAGCTCGGTGGAGTCCTGCTCCTCGTGGGATGGGGCTGGGGGGCTGCACCCCCCCTTCTGGTAGTCATAGGCAGGATTGAGTGCTGGCTGGGGATGGGGCCCAGAAGCTCCCTCCCCGGCCCTGAACTGACCCGTTCTTCCCTCCTCCCTATGGTTGACTGGGCCTGACCCTCCTCTCCCAGGGCCCAGGTCTGTGTGATATCTGTATATATTGCATTTTGTTGATTTTAATAGAAAACAAAGCGTTATTTTCTCTTTCTTTCCCTCCTCTTTTTTTTTTTTTCCTTTTTTTTTTCCTTTTCTTTTTATTCCTTTTTTTTTTTTTTTTTGTTTGGTTTGGTTTTTCTGTTTTTTGGTTTTTGTTTCGGTTTTTTTGTTTTTTTGGTAAGGATTTCCGCCCCCGCCCCTACCTTTAGAAGTTTTTGTTTCCATATGGGAGGAGGGGAGGGAGCCTCTGGGCCACCTAGAATGAGGGGCCTCCCCCCAAAACAACACCCCACCTCTCCTGCTTTCAGTTCCAGATCTGAGGGAAGGGATGGGAGGAGAGGTAGCCGAAGCGTCGGAGCTGAAATGGGGTATTTGGAGCAGGGACCCCAGAGTTCCCAGATTTTCTCAGCGGCTCTACCCCTCTTGGAATTGCCCCCCTAGATGGGACTATTTGCTGTTCTGTTGTCAGGTTGTCATGGTGGGGGAAGGGCGGGGGGCGGGGAGCGGTGTGCAGTGCTGCTGGGAATGAGCCTGGCTCTGGGATTGGTCCAGTCCTGTGGGCAAGACTCTTATGAGAGGCTGGAACAACTTCCGGTGGCATCTTCTCTGGTTTTACCTAGAGTAATGGGAATGACGGTCTCTGTTGGGGTGTCGCTGAGTCAAGTACTTTCTGGGGTGCTTCTGGCACTCCTTAGGATGTCACGGGAAGTTGTTCCCCAGAGGTCACTTCCTGTGATGAGAGGAGAGACAGGTACTTCCTATGATGTCTCGGTGAGTCTTCGTTGAAGGCTACTTCAGGGATATCATGGGGGCAGGTACTTCCTGTGGTACCTCCAGGGTTATTTCCTGTGATGTCACTGGGATGGAGCATGTACTTCCTGTATTGGACCAAGGCCGGTCGCTGACGCTCTTTCTCCGCCCGCACCCCTCTTTGGTGGGTCTTGGACTGGGGGTCTTCCTAGGAGGAGAATGAGAGGTGGGGCTTGGATCAGATCTGGAGGACTCTAAGGACAAAGACCCGCTACTGTCAGGGTCACCTCTATCCAAATACACCCAGTCTGTGAACTCACCTGGCAGGGAGGGGTGGGAGATGGAGCTGGTGAAAACTACTGTTAAAGACCCCCATCCCCACCCCCACCTTTTGTGTGCATGCTTGTGTCTGCGTGGCTTCGTTCCATTGAGTCTGGTGAGCCAAATGTGTGGTGGCTCTGTCAGGCCACCATGACCTCAGTGTAGAGTTCAGTGAGCCACCGTAGGGACCCTTGAGCTGGAATGTTTCGTGTGGTCTAATAGTTTAGGTTGGCTTGTGGTTTCCAGCAAGCTGGAGGACTTGACTAGTATCGGAGGGATCCGAATGTCTTGGTGCTCCCTGAGGAGCTAGAATGTTCTGATGGAGTCTGCCAAGCCAGGCAGCCCTGAGAGACGGTTTGGGAGTGGCTTCCCTGAGCACTGCGGCTGTGGTCAGCTCTAAGGCCTTGCTGGCAGGCTGAGATTTCAGGGCCTGACAACACTATGGACTTAGACTAGCTGAGACCCACCTCTACCCTCGCCCATCTCCCACTCCCCCGTGGAGACCACCTCCGCTTCCTCCAGCCCAAAGCAGGGCCCCCAGTGCCCTGGTTCCATCATCAGCATCTGTGGGGGAGGGGCACCCCATGCCCACCCTCTCCCCCATGTGTCCCCTTCCTAGGTCTTCCAGACCCTTCTCTGCCCCATGGCTTTGGGGGAATCAGGCCTCCTCGCCTCTCTTCCACACAAGGAGAGAAGAAAAGCCAGAGACAATTCCCACCCCTAAAGCCTGGGAGACCCCTGCCCCTCGCTAGAGTGCCACCCCCAAATCAAAATGTGAAAATCCCTAGAAAGCAATAGCCTTCAAGGTACCTTGCACTGAATTTCCCACCCCGGCCCTTCCACCTGATGGGAGGCGGTAGCTTGGGCACTAGGGTGACTTTTTTCCATGCCCGCTTCATCTCCGGGGTGGGGGGCAGGCCCCATTTCCCCATCCCCCACCTCTCATCGCTGCTGCCCCCACCCCTAATCTCCAGACTGAACCCAGATGGAGATTCTAGTGCCAAAACAATTCTTGATGTAACTTTGTACATATCTTCTGCGGGGGGGGGAGCTCTTGGGGTGGGAGGTGGAGGTGGCCCTGTGGGCCATTGCTCCCCTCCACCTCTCAAAAGACCCTACAGTATTACACAGTATCCCCACCCACAGCAGATACTGCAGTATCTAGCTGGAATATTCCCCCACAGCCCCCCAGGCCCCCATGAGGAGGGGAAGGAGCCAGGGAGAGGTAAAACACGGTCTGGGAGTGGGGAGGTGGGATTTGAAAGTGCTGATTTGCATATCATTTGCATCCTCTGCTGCCCTGGTTTGTCCAATGCTTTCTGTAGCCCCTTTCAAGGGGGTCCGGGTCCCAATCAGTGGGACCCAGTACTCCTGTCACACAGACGCGTCTCTGGAGGCTGGGCCTCCTGAAGAACGTTCCCCTGGGGTATCTGTGTGACAGCCCCCTCCCTATTCACATTTCTCGGGGACCCCCCCCACCCCACCAGCCAGGGCTATCTGCAAGGTAGTTTGCTAGCTCAGTGAGCTAGTTCACTCACCAGGTTGGTGAGTGGAGAGCCACACACTTTTCCCCATTTTTACCCTAGGAAACTCCCTCTGCCGCCGTCTTCCCCATCCCTTGAAAAAGTCTCTTCTGCATTCTGACCTCAATCTTTTGTGCTGCAGTGTGTCCAGAGGGGACACAGATGTGTGGTCAAGGATGGGGATCATTGAAAAACCCACGGTCTCTTTTTTTCTCCTCTTCCCTGTCAGCCAATCAGATCTCAGAGACTCTGAGAGGCCTCCTTGCACCCTGCTCTTCAGCACCCAGTAGGTGCTTAATAAGTGTTTGCTGCATTGAACTGTCTCCCTGTTCCTTCCCATTCGCCTTCCATCTCCCAACATCTTCCCCCAGAATTTCCCTCTCTCTTTCTCGGGCTCCCTATGGCTTTCTACTTTTTTCTCCTTGTGGCTCCCATCATTGCCTGTCCTGTCTCTATCTTTGTCTAAATCTGTCTTTTGCCCTCTTCTCCACCCTCTCCGATCTCTCCCCTCCCCCATTTCCCCAGCGATTAAAAAAAAAAAAAGTGCCAAACTTCCTTAGAACTGAGCCGCTCTGGGGGGAGGGAACCTCAGATAGAGGGGAGGAACGGAGCCATCTCTCTTTGAGGAGGCCCCTAAGAGGCATTGAAAAAGTCTGTGGACGCTTAGCTAAGTTGGGTCCCCCTTCCTCACCCCTCCCACCCTGAGTTTTTCTTAGAATCTTTGTAAGAAAAAAACGAAAAAAACGAAAAAAAAAAAAAACCACAAAAACCCTCCCCTTCAGCCAATCCCTAACCTTTCGGACCCCCCAAATTCCACCAGCCGGGGAGAACCCCACTTTGCCTCCTTTGGGCAAATCTGTCGGAATTGGGGAGGAGGAGACAAGCTCAGCCCCTCTTCTTTTGGCCTGAGGGACGTGCCAGCTGGATTCCAGAGAAGGACCTCAAAGCACTTAATGAGAAGAAGGGGGTTCAATGTGCCAAATTCACCTCCATCCCCTGTCCCGGGGGGGCTCTGAGCCAACCTGCCCCAGCCACTTTCTTCTGCCCTGTCCCAGCCATCTCTGCCATGGGCAAGGAGGCTTCACTGCAATAATTATTAGGGGATCAGTGTGCCACCTGGCCTGCCCTGGACTTGTAGGTGGGAACGATGGGTAACCCAAGCGGAGTTTGGTAAGAGTCAGACCTGGTGACGGTCGGGGACCGATACTCGGAAGGAAATGGTACCCCTTTTCTCTGAGTGGTTTTTTCCTCCCCTTCTTCACCCCCCAACCCCTTACTTACCCCTCTTTCTGTTTCTCTTGCCTATTCCTCCGTCCCACGCCCCCTCCTTACTTCCTTTCTGATTGGTGGCCTACTGTTTGGGAAGGAGGGGATTCCGCTGCATTGATTGCAAGACCAGGACTTGAAGTCGTGAGACGCTGAGCGCTGAGCGGTGGACAAAGTATTAACTAAGAGCGGCGACGAGGGTGGCTAGTTGGGCGTCCAGGCTGCTCATTGGGTGCACACCTCTCGCGACAGCCAGGCAGGCCTTCGCTGCTCGCCACGCCCCTGCCCCGCGCCGACTTTGAAACCCCGAGGCCGGCCGTCGCGAAAGCCTGAACCGGATGTCACGATGGGGAGAACGGGATCGCGATGCCCACGTTGGGGCACCGAGGGCCGGGGACGCACGTTTACGGCTCTCGTGGAGTCGCGACGCCCAGCCCTGCTAGCCGATCCCTCTACACTGCAGTCAGCTGTCTGGACGCCGCTGTGGAAGGGCTTCGCTCGGTGGCGCCGCGGCTGGTGTGTGTCAGGTCCGTCTCAGTGCCCTCTGCCAGTCGCGTTGGGGATCGCTGGGTGGCCGGGGGGGGGGGGGGGGGGGGGGAACGTCTCTGTGAGGGGGGGGTTGCTGGTGTTTAACCCCTTCTCAGCCAGTCCAGGACATTCTTGTCTCTCAGAGACAAGTGGGGGGGGACCGCCTAATCCCCCCTCCCGCACACCTTTCCTCCTCCCTACCCCACCCCCCCAAAACCACCAACCTCTCATATTCTAAGTGACTCCATCACCACCGGCCACCGGGACCTGCGGCCTCATTGCTCCAGCCCGCCCCACTCGACCGTCAGACTCGCTCATCGAACTTTTTGATTAACCCTTTCTGTGTTCATCCCACGGAAAACTGTGTGTCCGGCGAGGGGGAGGGGGGAGGCGAGGGGCAGCAGCTACCTTTCCTCCATCTCCTCCCACCGCCCATGCCTCCCCACCCGCACCCCATCCCATGCCCTATCCCATCCCTCACCTTAGGGTCCTCCCCGCCCCGGGGAGAGTGACCCTTTAGAAATATCTCTGCTGTTTGGCTTTGTCCCCTTCAAAGGCGGGGCCAGGGGCGTGGCCTCCTGCACGCGGAGCACTCACTCCGGCCCAGCCCTTTTCTGTGGCCCCCCCCAACTCCCCACCCCTTCATTGTAAAT